GGTAGAGTGGGTGACCCAAGTAGACAGTCTTCAGGAGAGACACTCTGACAGGTAGTGAGGCCCCCAAACCATGAAAGGCTTTATAAGTTGACACTAGCACTTTGAATATGACACAGAAGAAAACAGGTACCCAGTGCAAATGAGCCAGGATCGGGGAGATGCAATCATAACTCCTCACTCCTAATACTGATCTAGCTGCTGCATTTTGCATCTGCTGAAACTTCTGTTTTTCCTTCAAAGGCAGCCTCATGTGGAGAGCATTGCATTAATTGATTCTAGAGATTACCAACACATGGACCAGTAGGATTAGGACTTTCCTGTCCAGCAAGGGCCACTACTGTGCCATCTACCAAAGGTGAAAAAAGGCAGACCCGGCCATGGCAGAAATTTGCTTCTCCATGAAGAGGCTTGGTTCCAGACGCACTCCCAAATCACAGACCTGGTCTTTTAGGGGGAATGTGACCTCATTCAGACCAGGTAAAATACTTCCCAACAGGGCAGGCTCTCTTCCCAACACCATGATCTCCATTTTGTCTGGATTCAACTTCAATCTGTTGGTCCTCATCTAGTCCATAACTGAGGACAAGCACTGCTCCAGAGTCCTCATGACTGATGGTGAGAATCATTGGATCATCGAATTGAATGGGGCCTATAAGGCCATTGACTCCAACCTCTGGCTCAAAGCAGGAGAGATAGAGCTGCATGTCATCACCATACTGGTGACAGCAAACTCCAAATTTCTGGATAATATTCCCCAACAGTTTCATATATAGATGTGAAAGAGTATTGGCGAGATGATCGATCCCTGTGGGACTCCACAACACAGAACCCATGAAATCAAAAAAAGCATTCCCCAGCTGCACCCTCTGAACATGGCTACAGAGGAGGAACTGGACTCCGAGTAGCACTGAGCTTCCAATCCCTAAACCCTATAGCTGATCCAGGAGGATACCATGGTCAATGGTATCAAAGGCTGCTAAGAGATCCCGGAGGATCAGCTAGTTCACACTTCCCTGGTCAGTTTTCCTTAACAAGCCATCAAGCAGAGTGACTAGAGCTGTTTCGCTCCAATGGCATTGCCTGAACCCCGATTGAAATGGATCCAGATATTAACCTTGACATGTACACAGCAGGGCCAATCTCTCCTGCGTCACCGGGATAAATGGACACGCATGCTGCCAAAACATTGTTACAGAGAAGCAGAAGAGGAGGTGACAAAAAAAGAACCCTTTTCGCCTTCAGAATTTCTCTCTTTTTTTTCCCTGTTTCACTTCAATAAATCAGAAAAAGGATGGTAGAACAGAAAGCACCTGGCAAACGGAATGACAAAGCAATAATATCATGTTTCTGCTCCTAGCCAGAGGGGGAAGAGCCTGTAGGATATCATTAAAAATGGCATTGTTATGCAAGTTCTCCCATTCTAATTAACTGTTACGCTGAAAAGCTGAAGGTTCGTATCCTGCAGCAAAACAAGTAGGAGAGAGAGCTGGTCAATTTTCCAATTTTGCTAGGTAATCAATGGCATTTGTACTGGCTTTGTGAGAGTTTGCAATAGTCTAACTGCATGTCAAAACTTTTTTTTGGGGGGGGGACACACAAACCCCAAAAATGGAAATACCACCCTGATCTTTTTCACACACCCTCTTCCACTCAAGACTCCCTGTTACTTCAATAGTTCATGAGCTTCATATCACAGGAAAGTAGTGCTATTCTTTTTTGAGAAGGTACATCACCCCACAAATAAAAATGTTATGCAAGTCTATCTAACGCAGGGATAGACAAGCGTTATGGGCTCAGGAGCCATTTCCCTTCCCTGAATCCTTGGAGTAACAGGACAACATCATGCTCAGGCCCTGATTTTGTTACAAAATTTTAGCTGAGCAGCAGAAGAAAAAGTATGGCTTTCACTGTATGTGAAAAATTAAACAGGATACATGCTCCCCTTACACTTTGTTTACAAGTGGATTTGTGCTCATTGTGGACAAGCGTATCTATGTACAAATAAGACATACAAGAAGCATGCATCTTGTTTAAAGAAAAGAAATGCCATTTAGAAAGGAAAACTGCCATTTCTCTGGCTGCTGTGCTATCAAATGTTGGCAACAGAAGTGGTGGCAGTCAAGGCAGGGGTTGTTTTGAGATACTCAACCATCTGCAAAAATATATGGGAGCTGCATGTAGCCCACAGGCTCCATGTTACCCACCCAACACAGAATTAAGTCCCATTGGATTCAGAGCTGCCAACCACCACTTCAATTTCAACATGATTTCAGTCTTCAGTTCTTTAACTTTGAGTCAATCAAGGCTATTATTACTATCAAGGAAGCAAGATTTTTAAATACCCAAAATATAAACCAAACTCACATCTTGATTCTTTTATGGTGTATTTTGCAAATGAGGAGTGATAAATCTCATTTTTGCATTCCTACATCTTGATGCTGAAAGCAAAACATCAGAAAAAGCCCTGAAAGTATATTATATGTGGACTGGAAAAGCCACATCCCATTTTACAATATACATGTGAATGAGCACATCCATCTATCTGGTTGTCTTTCTGTCATCTATCTCGGCACCGATACTCAACAAATGTGGAATTACTATAAAATTGTTGGTACAAAAGCCTCATTTCTTCCCAAGTTAGGGTTGGCTGTACTAGAAGACAGAAGGAGGTGATGGCTGGGGAGGCACAAGTGGAAGCCCCCGGACAACACGATTATTCCCTCTGCTGCACAATTTGTGCTGGGGTCTGAAACAAGCCTAATGCCTTATGGGGATTGGACAACACTCTCATACTCCCCATGTTGAGAAAAGATTATAATGTGAGCCCAGCTGCCTTCTCCACATGAAATGAGTAGGTGGTGCCATTTTGTCCTTGAGCTCTGCCCCCAGCCTGCTAGAGGAGATTCCAAAAGATAAATTCAGTTTGGCCCAAAGCCTGCTCAGTGGGAGTCTAGAATTCATGTCCCTCGATGCCAAAAGTTCCTTTCGAAAGCACAGCGAGTTGATCTTCTTATGAGATCTAAGCTGTACAGAATCTCCATGTTTGGGGGTGGTATTCCCTGAATGTCTGATGCATCAACACAGCAGTGGGAGTCCCTCCTAAAAGCACACGATTGACCGGGAAACAAAACATGTTGGAGTCATTTTCTTTCTTTACAGTTTCACTTATTTAATACCTTTCTCTCAGGAGTGGGACCAAGTTGGTTTACAACTTGTTTAAAAAACAGTATCACTAAGTTACGACTATTAAAATGTAATTAAATCTGTTATACTATTAAAATACAATGCATCTCAATTAAAATGCAAATGACAATTTACATTAAAAATGAAAGAAAATCAACACACCCAGTTAAAAGGCCTGCCCTTAGTAGGCTGCCAGTTCATGAAGAACTTCCTGAATACAAAGTTCTTTGCCTGCTGTGGAAACCAAGTGTTCCTAAATCTGAGTAGGAATCAGTGGTTCCTAAAGCTGAATTTGCAGATGTGGTTGGACTTCCCCCCACTGAAGCCTGAGACAGAATGGCCAATAGTCAGGGAGACTGGGAGCTAGGGATCCCCAGAAATTATCAGGAGACCCAAGGATGGGAACCTGTGGAGCAGAAGCACCTTGTATCTGGTCTGCTACAGGTCTTCTTATGTAGTTCTAACCCAAAGGCTATTGATTCAAGAGGCCTATATTTAAGAGTTTGTGTTCAGCATCATAGCATAAAGCTATGGGACTAATGTTCGAGAACACATACATAAGTTCAAGGTCAACCATGTATAACATTGATTACTTTAAATGCAAAGATGTGTAACGATCAGATGGATAATACGTAGCTTAGTAGTAATATTAATAATAATGGTCGATTTGAAGTATGTGTGAGACATTCTCATCATTGAATTAATTTGAATGGATTACACTCAATCCCACATCACCTAGCCTGAAAAAAGAACTGGTGGGCACAATTTACGATAGCAAATCTGTATGTTTCTTGTGGTCTGTGCGGTAAAAGAAAGAAAAATGCTTTTGGCAACATGCACTGTTTGCAAAGCCCACTGTGTGCGTTTCTAAAATGTGCACAAATGCACTTTAATAAATGGCAACATGGATTCATTAATGTGACTATTTGAAAAATGTCCATAAACCCACATTTGTCTTAGGCTGTGGTCATACTGGCAAGAAGAACCACGTTTAAGTGTCATTTAAATCAATTTAGAAGTTATTGTTCACACAACACAAGGGTGAAATCGATTCATATGGGCTACAAAGTGAGTTTTTTTCAATGAGTCAGTAGGTTTTTTTCCAAAATATCTCACTTCGAAAATCATCATTTTAATTTGGGTCACTGTGGATTCTGGGTGGCAGAGGCACTGCTATTTTTCTTTCACATTTTTTAAATCTTTCTCAAAATGTTTATTACTGTATCACTTCATCAATATGTTCATCATTACAACCACATACCCTAATTTTTATATTCTGCCAATGAAGGAGTTAGTGGAGCAGCAGAAGACCAGTGGGCACGGAATGGGCACATCTGGAAAAGGAAGATGCCAGGAGCATCACCCCACAAAGCAGCTGGAAGCCTTTCCCCCCTGCTCTAGCATTTCAGGATGGTATATAAGTTGAAACAACAAGAAGAACACATATAGAGAAAGATGCACTGTATTGTAGTGCAGCATGAGAGGTGTTGCAATTATGCTAGCACAATACTACACAGCTTCTGCCCCTGCCCCCCCCCAATCCTACAGCTCCTCTTGAGTAGAATTATTTTGAGGCAACACAGAGTAGAACATCAGGTGGGTATCTCATTCCATGGAAAGTTCATTTAGCTGTTATGTGAGACGGAGACAGATCTGTTCAAAGCAGTGGAGCTTCTACTTGCACTACAGGGTGGCGAATACACCCTGATGCAAGCATCTGGCAAAGAACACCCACATGCACAACAAACAGGTGGGGATGAGGTAGAAATGAACAAGATGCTGCTAATAGCAAATAAGAAGCCAGAGCTGTCTAAAACCAGAAAAAAAGATGGCTGTACATTTATTGGCAAGCTTTCAAAAGCAATATTGTGTGGTTCTTCTTACAGGAGTTGCATTTCCCCTCATGGTTTCAGAGCAGGCCATGATTCTTGTTCAGACAGAACTGCAGAAATGAAGGGAGGGTGTGGCGAACCCACCAAGTCATTCTTAACGCAGTATGTTCGGCATGGTGGTTAAAGAAACCTTTCTTGTCTTGTGCATCGGACTGATGTGATTCTTATTTGTCAGCTTTTTGGTGTATTAGATTTGTTGAGTTTTCATCTTGTTGACTGAGCTGAAAAGGAAGCCATAATTAGTAAATACATTCAGGTCACAATTTTCTAAATATTCAGCTGCTCTCCAAACTCACGCTACTTACCTGTCTGGATTCAGTTTTTGGGAAAAACAACAACAATTTAAAAAAAACACCAAAATACACACTGGCATAACCAGTCTAGGGATAACCAGGGGTAGCCCAAACCATTTTGGTGCCTAAGGCAAAGAACAAGGTGCTATTCCATTTCCAAAAACCAGTTGTGCTGTCAGCTGACTCTTTTTCAGACAATGATATAGGGGTAAACCTCTTCCACCACACCTGAAGGCAGTGAACTAGTTCAGAGGGGTTCAGGTCATGGCACAGAGGTCTTTCCTCAAATACTTTGCTAAAACAAAAATAAGTATCTATTCACATTGCCATTCATTTATTCCATTCCCACTGCAGCCTTTTTTCTCAACCTTTTGGCTATGTGTCCTATAATGGTGACAGTGCAACTCAGCTAGTGTCAGCATCATGCTTCCATTCCTTGCACTACAGCAGCACAGAGAAACCTATGGGTAGCTCCTGACAACTTAATTGGTGCTTTGCACAAACTGTATATCTGAATGCATGGAAAGGGGATCTCCCACTGGCCCTCTTCTATACTCCAGCCACACAAAATCCCATTTGTATTGGAAGCTGTGCACCTAAACAAATGCATGAAGGCTTCGTACATAACATCTGCACCCTATATGGCATAGCAAGCACTGCACCTCCTCCCTACTTCATTCTATCAATTGCATGCTAGACTGTGGTCTGCTCAGGGCTTGCTCAAGCCAGAATATAAAATTAGCATTGTTAGAATTCCATTCTGAAACACTTCTTGTTTCGTTCTGCAGTATGTCACACTGCTTCAGCCATACCTAAAGGCTGGCCCTATCATTGGGCAGAGTCAGGTGTTTGTCTCAGGTGGCAGATGCTGGGCAGTGGCAGGAAGGTGAGCAGACCATTCTCTAGTGGAGGAAGCCTACATATAGTTTTGCGGTGGGGGAAAGGCAGGCTATAAATAAAAGAAGGGGAAAAAAATAAAAGTAGAGTTGTACCCAAATACCAGGTCCACTTGAAATTCGCCACCCCATTTTTAGCACAGAAATCAGGGAGAGTCATCAAATATTTCCAGGGCCATAAAAAAAAATATGTGACAATCACTGCTGAATTCTGGTAGCTTCTGAAAAATATCCTTGCATGGACTTAGACATGAATAGGCAGCAAATGCAACTCCTTGAGCGATTATTAATATTCATTTTGCATGGGAAAACTGGCAAACCACATTTTGTGCTACTGGAGGTTTCCAGATCATCCTCAAAGGCAGCTCCACAAAACTTTTCAGTCACACTGGATTCAGGAGGTAACTAGAGCATGGAGCTCCATGGCCAAGCTATACCTATTCATGCATGGCTATGGCCTAAATACCAATCAAGCTGGTAAAAGATCCACTGAGACCACCTGAGCCTCAAGAAACACTGGTGAGTGTGAATCCACATGTGCGCATCTGCTTCTTCAGGGGCAGTGCAAGCCATCCAAGGCCTGTTGTACATTTACATCATAGACTTGAGAACCATCACCCACAGCAGCAGCTTCCTCTCAAGGTTCAAATTGGCCCCCATCTAGTTCTTTATTAAGTCCAGGTGCAAATTCAGTTACCTATGTGTGTGTGTGGGGGGTCTCATCTGATTCACACGGCAAAAATAAGCAGGCCAAGGTTTTATTAGTGTACAGATAACTTCTCACTCCAAATTTCAGATGGCCTGAAGTGGCATCTTCATACCTTGCTAAAAATCACAAGAAGATAACGTGGAACTCAAGCAGAAACCACCACACCCCCATCGTACTTTCTGGAACTGAGACTACTGGCAGGAGCCCAACCACTATATCACCCAACACCCAACACCCAACCCACACAACTAATCCAATAGCATGTATGAGACCACCTGAATCGCCCCAGGCTGGAAGACTGATGTGCAACATGGTGGTTTGGACACCAACAGAACTGCTAATCCAGTCTCCCAAATCAACATGAGGATAGGTGGTGATGAAAATTGTAGTGAAGCACATATGGAGATTTCCAAGTTAGAAAAAGCCCTGACCTGGCATTCTGACCCATCCTTAGATACAGAGACTCAAATTCAGTGCCTGGGTGCCCTTGTATCCTGATGCAGGAGATGGATTCCTTACTGGTGACAGCAACTTTTCCTTCCTTTCAGTCTACATTGACCAGTACGCCACTGCATACCCAAGTGGACAGATCAACTCCTTCCAGCTTATTCACCCAGGTCTCTTTGAGACATACCATGAACTCTGTAGCAATACTTCTGTGTTTATTATAATTTCTTGCCAGGAAAAATTAAAGGCAGCAGGAAAAGATCAAATATGAGACAGATTGACTCCACAATTTCAGTTTACAAGGGCTGAGTAGAGCTGTTGAGGACAGGACATTTTGGAGGTCACTCATTCATAGGGTCGCCATAAGTTAGAGGCTACTTGATGGTCCATAAAAACATTGTAGTTTCTATTAACACTGATAGTGGAACTGCAGTTGCTGTACTGTTACTGACTGAGAATAGATGCTGATAATATAGAATTACCACAATTGATTCTTAAGACCTGGAGTCAAATTAGATGTTAAGAGGAACACACATACCCTTGATTAACCATTTTATGCTCCCATGACAGAATTTCCTCAGAGATGTACACCTCAGCAATCAGATGTACAAATGAAGGCCATGTTTCCTTGTCAGTGATCAATCACAACGCTGAGCATGCTAAATACAAGACACAGAGGTGAGGAAAAAGTGCATGCTACGACAAGCATGTGTCTTTTACTGCTTGAGAAAGCAGCACTTCTAAGAAGGTGCTAAACATATCATCTAGTTTAACCCTGAGAAAAATAAACCTCAAAATTGGTGGTAATGCCATCAAACTATGGCATCATGCTGGTAAATTATTAGCTTTAGCCAGCGGCTAACAATTTGAAACCTCAGCTCAATCTTTATTCAAACAGCAGGGTCAAAGATCAACTTTGTAGAATTATTTTTTTAATAGTGTGATTAATCAGTGATTTTCATAGACTTGTAAGCCTGATTGCTTTTAATAACAATTTGAGTGCCATTGGCGGTAGGCAGGAAGTTTGCATAAGCTGTGCTGAATCAGGATATGCTTGCACTAATCAATTGGCACTGCTTTGAGTATGGACGTGGCTTCAGTAGGTGAAAGGTACTTAGCTGTGCAAATAGATTATATCAGCCCATCATTTTAGGCAAAGCAGCAATGTAATCCTTCAATAGTGGTAGGTCAGACATAAGCGGGTTGAAACAGCACTGCTCAAAAATGTTTAGCAGATTGCTATGAAATGTTATTACAAATAATCAAGTTACTCCTTTCCTCTACTTGGGGACACAAGCCAATTAATTTGACTAGTAATCTCATCCAAAAAAAAGGAATCAAACTTATGTTAGGGCATGGGAAAGCATGATTACTAACCTCTGTTCCAATGCAGCTGGCAAACCTATCAAGTGTTTTCCAAGCTTCAGATATTAATTTTCTTTGAACTTTTTTTAACCAAGCGTTGCCTTTGGGGTTGTACTTAAAGTTAGATGGATGGAGTTCAACGGTTTTAATTAAAATTATTCAATTAACCCAAACAAAGCGGACGCCAAAGCCTAACACCTTCAAAAGCCCAATAAATAAATAATAAGTAAACAGAATCTTATCAATAATACAACGTCAAATCTTTTATCTATCTACTTGCATTAGGCAGGAATTAGGCAGGAATTAGGCACTTAAAAGGCTACTTAGTTCTGGGAGCAACAATAGCCCTAGATGCGTGTGAGAAAACTGACAGCGTTTCTGTAGGAGGAACTTGCAATGGTCTCTGCCCCACACAAATCTTCTCATGGGAGGATCTGAATAGAGCCTGTAACTGTATTCAGCCAAACACAGAAGGAAAACAGACACTGGTCACTATTGCTATGCTTTCCAATGTAAACCGGTTTCTTTGTAGGTGGTTCTTGCCCTTACAGTGGTGTCTTGACTTGAGAACTTAATCCGTATTGGAAGGCGGTTCTCAAGTCAAAAAGTTCTCAGGTCAAATCCCCATTTCCCATAGGAATGCATTGAGAACCATTTGATCCATATCTGCTCTTTTCCGTCCATAGAAACTAATGGGAAGCTGCTATTCCGCCTTCGACCACTAGAGGGGGATATTTTGTTTCTTTTTTTCTTAGGTCAAGAAAAGTTCAGGGAAGGCAGGGAAAATACAGTCCAGGCAGTACAGTACCAGGAAGCCCGAAGACTGTCTCCCAATCCACTCTCTAAACGCTGGGAGGAGTGAGGAAGCAGACAGTCACCCTTTTCACTGGCCAACAGTTAACTGAAAGTTCACATCTTGCACTTTCCCTGCCTCCCACGTGGTTTTTTTTCAGTTCTTAACTCAAATCTAAGTATGTAAGTCAAGTCAATATTTTCCTATGAGAGTGGTTCTTAAGTCAAAATGTTCTTAACTTGAGCCGTTCTTAAGTCAAGACCCCACTGTATTTATCTCACACTCATTTTATACTACCTGTACTCTGCCTCCCATACTCCAAGTGTGACTGGCCAAGTTACTAGGAGTTGTTCCACTGCTGCCATTTCACACGCCCATGACATTGACTGGTGTGGGCCTCAACATTAAAGAGATTTGCTGGTGAAGTCCCACCCACAGCCACCAAAGCTTCCCTACCCCTTCTGTGTTTTGCATGCCATGTGACACACACACTTCCTTTATGATGATATTGAGTGACACACAGTGATGCTGTTGAATAAGCAACATGTGACAGCATCAGTTGTGCAGCAGTATTTTGCATGTTGCACACCTGTTGTGACACCATACTCTCGCCCTAGATGGGAAGCACTGGACAGTGCTGATGAAACCAGCCTTGTTATGTAGTACAGCCCTGGTGTATACAGTACTGTGCCTTGTTGTACAAGGTGTTACCCTTTCAAAAGTCTCTTCCAAAAATAATTTAATGGGCTGTAATTATAATGGCAGCAAGGGACGTGGTGGCGCTGCGGGCTAAACCGCAGAAGCCTGTGCTGCAGGGTCAGAAGACCAAGCAGTCGTAAGATCGAATCCACGCGACGGAGTGAGCTCCCGTCGCTTGTCCCAGCTCCCGCCAACCTAGTAGTTCGAAAGCATGCAAATGCAAGTAGATAAATAGGGACCACTTCGGTGGGAAGGTAAAAGCGTTCCGTGTCTAAGTTGCACTGGCCATGTGACCACGGAAGATTGTCTTCAGACAAACGCGGGCTCTATGGCTTGGAAACGGGGATGAGCACCACCCCCTAGAGTCGAATACGACTGGACAAAAATTGTCAAGGGGAACCTTTACCTTTACCTAATTATAATGGCATGCCATCATGGAGTTGAGAAATGTGCATATTGCACTAAATATATCATTGGGCCAGAAGCTGACCTCATGGTCTTGAGCTCTCTGCTTGGGATAGGTTGATTTTTTTAATTGAAAGTCATCAAGGCAGCATGCCTAGTTGTTGCCAAAGATAAGAAAACACATTAGTAGTGTACACTTGTACTGGAGATGTAGTCAGGTTAAGTAGGATGGTGTGGGAATTAAAGCATGGTAATTATCTGTACACATAGTTGGGGTAAACTACAGTGGTGCCTCACTTAACGACGATAATCCGTTCCAGGAAAATCGTTGTTAAGTGAAAACATCTTAAAGCGAAATTTAAAAACCCATTGAAACGCATTGAAACTCATTCAATGCATTTCAGTGGGGTGAAAGCTCACCGTCCAGCAAAGATCCTCCATACGGTGGCCATTTTCACTGCCTGTATAGCAAGGAATCCATCCCTAAACACAGCAGGAAGCCATTTTAATCACCCGGTGGCCATTTTGAAACCACCGATCAGCTGTTCAAAAAATGTCATTTTTGCAAAGAATCAGTTCCTGAAGCAGGGAACCGATCATTGCAAAGTGAAATTCCCCCATTCAGACCATCGTTTTGCGATTACAAAAAGATCGTCATTAAATGGTTTTGTCATAATGCGGGACAATCGTAAAGCAAGGCACCACTCTATGGGGAAGTTCATAGCATCATAGTTGGCCAAAACCTGTAGTGAGCAAAACATTTGCCATAGGGGGACATTTTATGGAAAATCAAAGTAATCCATAATGCCCTGCCATGAAGACAAGGCTCTGATGATGGTACCTGCACAAAGGCTGGGCAGACCATGAACCTGACACAACTCCGGGAGGCAGTAGAAGACAGGAGGGCCTGGCGTGCTCTGGTCCATGGGGTCACGAAGAGTCGGAAATCAAAGTAATCCTAAACACACACACATGAAGACAAGGCTCTGATGATGGTACCTGCACAAAGGCTGGGCAGACAAGAAATATGAAGGAGGACCTGATTGGAAACAGTGTCAACCCTTGGAAAGATGGCAACACCCACCAACAGCATGTGTCAAGGAGATCATCACAGCGTGAAAGTGAGACAAAATACAAGCAGAACACAGTAAAATAGGTCACAACGCTGCTGCTTGTTAGTTTAGAAGAAATGGGAAGAAACTGTATGTCACAATAGGTCCTCATGAAACGTACATCAAGACAATTTGTATTTTGATTGGTTGCTAAAAAGAATCTAAAATAATTCACAGGCAAATAGTAACAACCCTCCTGCTGGCTTCCCTTCACAGTTACTTTCTTTCCCCTTGATCAGAAATAGAGATAGGAGTGTGCCTTGTCCCACCATTCAGTTTCTAAAATGTCAAGATCTTTCCATCCCAAATAAGACTTTGTACATTCTTATCAATAATGCACCAAAACAAAGTTCTGCCCTCTTTACACTGACCAAATTCATGCTCCAAGCATGGAGAGGATTGTGCTCTCCCTCCATCCCTATACGTGCTAAAGATAAGGAGCTTCTGAGAGAGAGGGAGGGAGAGAGAGACGTAGTAACCCTAATCTCTAGCACTAAAGGGTGTTTAAAGCACTAAAGGGTGTTTAATACATAAGAGCTCTAAGAGTTAAGTATTCAGATTCCAGGACCAGGATAGTTGAACCTGTTAGTTCCTTTGTACCACTATTGATGTGTCCCACATTTCTTCCCCAAAGGGGGAGATTTGCAACCAATGTGAAATTCTTAACAAAAAACAAACTGAAATTAAAACTTCATCTGTCTCTAATCAGGAAGGTGAATGGCACTGTCATGTGGCTCCCAGTCACATTGTGGACTGTAACAGCATTCGTCTGAATAATCTTCCTTTCCCAGCCATCGTAGAGAGAGATTGGTGTTCAAGGCTGCAACTCCATCTTGTCTGTTGCACATCCTCTCTATGCATCCAGTTTAGTAGCAGTTGTGTCTTGAGTGATTGTGGTAGGCTGGTAAAATATGAGACTCCAGCTGAATAGGGGAAAATATCCATCTACTCCAGAATCCCCAAGCAGCATTAGTTACAGAATATTACTAGATTAGTCTGGATTAGAAACTCACTAGTCCTATGTCCCTAATCCCACCCAACACAGCACTCTCTCACAATTCTTTCCTTGACAAATTATTTCCACACTGGCTTTTTTTCTCCCTCCCTCAAGTACTCCCCTGGATCTTTCAGAAGAACGGTGGCATATAAACACCCACCCCATTACTTGCCTCAGAACTCACTTCCACTCACATGGAAATGTAATTCCCTGTTTAGAAGTTTGGGCCTATTTCATTTGTTCAGGTTATTACAATTAAAAGAACAATATTTTTCATCCTATGTTGCTTGTAAGGTTGGCTTGCCATCTCAGCATGTGATTGTTCAAGCTAATGGTTTGAAATACTGAGGACCAGTAAGCATTGCTGTGTGGGAAAATAAAAGAGAGTTGGCAGAAGCTCACTGAACAACAGATAAACTACTTGGTTTGCAGCCAGAGGAAAAGAGTCTCACAGTAGCAGTTTGTAAGACAGAGTTAACAAAGGAGTCCACTAAATGACTATGGTCAGGGGTTACTAAAAACTAATTATCAGTGAGTCCAGCTGGGGCTCTGAGGGAACCAATTTTGAACTAGAATCAGAGTAGATTTTTTTAAAAAGAGTGGAATAATAGTTTCAAAAAAATCCAAAAAGCCCATTTAATTTTTTTAAAATCAGATATTGCTGGAATGCTTTATGTTTACAAAAATCTTTATGAGGTAATTCTTTCCACTTTCTTAGGCACCTTTCAGTATCGAAAGACCATGATAACGTGCTCTGTATTTCAGTCTCGAAAGACCATGATAACACACTCTGTATGAGTGTGTCGTCTCCAGACCATGAAGCCTGGGTAGAATAACATGGAGGATAGGCTGTTACCCAAGCAGCAAATCTCCCCTCTCCACGTTGCTGAAATAGTCCAATGCAAAGGCAAGAGCCAATACAACTGGTTCTAGCAATGTTGCAGGAGTTGCCAGAATGACACGAACTGTCTCCGGGACTCCAGCTCCGGATTTTGCCTCGAGGTTGACTCCTGAAGCCTTTTCTATCAGTGGATATAGCCACAAAGCAGTGGAGGATTGAAATTGGGGTTTTCCTTCTACTAGATGGGCTGCCTTCCAAGCATTGTTCTAATTTATAAAGATCTCATTATAAAATAGACAAATTCAAATTATATATTATGAAAGAATGTATCCATATAATCGGTATTTATTTAAAAAATTGTAAACAGGGTCCAGCTGTTCTTGAACTGGAGGCCATTTTTCATGGACTTCCATATGCTCCTGTATAGATTTAGTTTAATCCTTCCATCTCTACAAGTATTCAGTCTAAAAATCAGTTGAGAAGATATTATCAGAAACATCTGAGTGATCCAGAGAAACAAAACTTGTTAACAGCAATATATGGAGATGAGGAATAACAGAACCATTTTACTCTGTTTCTTGGTTCTAACTGAAGTCACTGCTGTAGCATTCCACTGCCCCTCTTCAGTGTGACAGAATGTTGGAAATACTGAGAAACACTATTCAAATCTCATGGATTGATTTCAAGCATTTCCTTATAAAATACTAATTCCTTTTGAGAGGTAACCTTAGCTATTGTATCTATGCCACATTGTGTAGATGAAGTCAAGCCCTTACTGCTCTCTTGTTCTGAAAGCACAGCTTCTGAGGCACTGGGAGTGTCAACAAGTACAGCATCATTTGTCAGGGGAAGGAGACTGTGAAAAAAATGTTTCTTGTGAAAATTCGTATGGAGGTAATAGCAAATATAAGAGTGCACTTTTTAAATCAAGGATGTGATCACACAACAGAATTGTTTCCTCCTTATGCCCATGTTAGATCATGGCTTAATTCTGTAGTCACACAACACAAGGCCCTTAGTGATTCATTTTACCAGCCAGTGGTATAACTGTAGTTCAGTTCTCACTCACTGGGAGGCTTCTGGTTTTTGTATTCTGATGGCATTTCGATATTTTCCTTAGCGGTATGGCATGTCTGTATGATTCTTCACCGGGGAAGGCAGCCACCATTACTGCCATGTGATTGCCCTTATACTGTAGATAGAAATTTGGACCTTCCCAGGTAAGTGGTTGTATACACCAACACATTCATACATACACACACATACGTCTGTCTGTCTCTCTGTATGTATTTCCATGATACATACATATCATGATCATGATGCATTGCAACAAAAGTATGGAAAGTAGCATTAGAACTGGGTAACATTTCCCTGGTGTGACAGTGGCTCAAGTGGCTGTGAGTCATGAGTTAAAGGAAG